CGCGGCCGGCGGGGCCCCCCCCCCGGGGCAGGCCCGCGGGCCGCGTTTCAGGATAAGCAGCTTATCTTGAAACGCACAAGCTGCCCCAAATGGACCATAAGTTAAGTGATTAGGTAAAACTAAATAACTTTCAAGATAAATCTTTAAACTAATCTTAATTTTCTGATTCTCACTTATTAGGATTCAGAATAGGAAATAAAAAAGAAATAAGAGGAAAATATTAATTGGGAAATTTACAAACACAACAAACAATTCTTATGTATTTACATATCTCACCCTTAAACTTTCGTATTTGCATTAAAGATGGATTTTACTTTTATAAAAAAATGCTAATAGTGCTATTTTTTTTATGTGGTATTAGAGGGGAGAGTGAATTCATAAGAATTGTGTGTTTCGTATGTAAATGCATCGTGTTAATGAATGGGGGTCTTAAAATATTGCACATGTGATATAATAAATAAACTTGCATGCAATTAATTAGGCACATCAATAAGGGCGTAAAAAAGTCAAATCAAATTTAAGCCACCATCATCTTAGGCTCGAGCTTGATTAATTAATTAAGTTTAAGCCCAAACTCGAGTTTAATTTTAGGGTTTGGAATCACCTCATTAGCCAATGTGTTCATTATGAAACAGAAAATATAGTATTAATTAAAGTTAATGATAATAAAATGATAAATGGAATGCAATTGTAAGGTAAATAATTAGAAATAACTTATTATGGAATGTAAGTATTATTTTTAAAGTATTTTTAGTAATTTAAAGTTAAAATTTTGAATTTAAATGTGTCAGAATATTTGTGAAGTTGAGTGATAATTTAATGTTTTTTTGTTGCACGAAGATTAAACACACATAGATTAAACAAAAGCAGCAGGAGGGGTCACCAAAATTCTTAAGCGAAAAAATCATGGAAAGAGAAAACCACGAGACCTAACCCGGACAGAGTAATTCACTATTTAATTGTAAGTACATATGTCCACTTTTATTTTAAATTATAGAAGATGAAATGACAAATCTGATAATTATATATGTACAATAGTAGTTAGCAATAATAGACATACTTGAGCTGCAACAAACGTAGTTCTTGGATAAAACAACAATAAGTTGAATATGATGTTCTCCATGAATTATACACAATGAATATAATGTAAGTAATGAGAGAAAACATGGAGGGAAGGAGAGAGGGGGGGGGAGGGGGGGTTGTATTTCCTTATTATAAATGATTAGTAGTTGATTCTCTCTCATTAATAAAATATTTCCCTTATTTATATAAGAGATGGTATAATGCCAATATGAAAATTTTTCCTCTATCTAGAAGGGATTCGTACTAGTACTAGTTATTTTTGGTCTTTTTATACGTATAGGTTTGTCATACGGTTATTTTCTGACTTGATTGGCTAAGCCCAACAGACTTCAAATTTACAGAATCAACTTGTTCGGCTTGACTTGGTTCGTATGGGTACGACGTCGATCGGCTGATCTGGCCTGACTGTCAAACCTTGATACATGGTAAGGAACCTCTCAGGCGTCCATGGGATGGTTGGAGATACAGTTGAACGGAATCTTCATTTAGATAAGCTTTACTGGAGGGTAAACTATCGTGTGAATTGGTCTTCTTGTAGTAGTTAGCTTGAATGTTTTTTTGTCTCATTTCTAGTTGAAATACCCTAGCTTAAATAATGCAGTCGCCTTTTTGTTTGTCTTATAGTCCAATCAGTTTTGGCTTTGTTGACTTGACCTATATAACTTTGCTCAATTAGTCAAGTGGGTCTTACGATCTCCTGATTGTGGGTTAGTCATTTCTATACTCTATATTTTATGAACTGTTGGATCTCTTTAAGATCAACACCGACAATTTTTTTTGTACATATTTTAGTTCCCATAATCTGTTGCTTCTTGAAAGTGATACTGCGATAAGAATAAGAGAATTTAATATAAAAATAGAGCGCATTCAATTTTGATTAAAGTTTCATGGGCCTGCGGCTCTACTCCTCTTTGACTCGGCTGGCTAAACTCGGTGGTTTGCCGAAGCTTGCACTCTAGACTATGCCGCAAGGTTGCTGGTCGGCCTTAGATGATTTCAACTCGGCAGGGCTGGGATGGACTTGGCTTTGCTAATAGGCTGTTTTAGTCTGATTGCCAACAGTTTTTCTTTGGTGAGGTGTTCTCGTTGGTTGAGAGATGCTAGACTATTCGGTAGAGGGCGAACCTCCATAACCAGATATGTAGCTCACCTCTTAACAAAGAAAGCTAGAGGGATGATTTTGATGTCTTTTGACATGAGTATTTCTCGTTCCCTGATAAGAGCTTCTTAGGTGCTCGTGGGATGACTAATGGCATCGCGGAGTTGACTCTTTCATCAGGTTGGGGCTTGAACCATCTCAACATCTTTCGTCTTACGGGGTTTAGTTCGGATGACTGCGTCTGATCAGCTTTGACTTTGGCTTTGGTTTGGTCTACTACGTCTGGTTGGCTAAACAAACCTTCTGGTCTTCTACTGATGGGACCTTCTTAGTTGTATTTTTATATCTCTTTGAGATTCATGTTAGTATATTTCCGATATACAATATATATGAAAAATTTACATACATATTACTTAATTTTTATGTGTTTATATATGTGACACCAAAACTTCAATTTCTTATCTGTATGAAATTGTATATTTTGCTATTTTAACTTTAAAGTTAAAATGATAATATTTGGGCAAGAGACAAAGTTTAGGGGTTAGATTTGTAAATACATGAGAATTGGGGTATGCAACTATGTATGTAAATGCTCCTTCGTGATCCATTTAGAATGTAAACCCTGGCATTGATCGGACGCATATATCACTTTTCAAAACTCTTGGAGAACTCTGCTTCACTGTGGACGCGACGATGGAAACGATACTCTCGCAGCTCTTCGTACTCCCGTTCTCAGTCCTCCTGGTCGCATCTCTGTCCCATGCGAACCATGAGGAGCAAGCAAGGAAGACCATGGAGGAGTTCTCTGGTTATCCAGCCAATTCACCTCATCCCCAATACTCTATGTCCCCATCTTTGCTGTCAGTTGACATCCATGGCTTGCAGAGGCAGGTAGGAAGAGAAAGGGGAATTGTTAAGCTTTCTTCAATCCGCTACGTTAATCGTTTGGCGATTTCTTCGGGGTTATCGTTATGTTTTCAGGGTTTTGTTACTGGATTACGTTGATTCGATGTTAATAATGCAGATTGAAGTGTTCAATTAAATAATTTGTTTCTGCTTCCTCTTTGATGTATTTAGGGTTCCATATCCCGATTATATTGATATTTTTTCTGCTTTAATAATGCAGATTGATGAGTTATCGTCCTTCTCCGATGCTCCAGCTCCTGCCGTGACTCGCATTCTGTACAGTCAGAAGGATATATTAGCTCGGAGGTAGTTACAAAGATGAACCATGCATCGAATTATTGTTTCAGGCAGTGAACTCTGATTAGTTGGTTTAGTTGTTCATGTATTCAAAGTTAATTGTTTTCGTGGTGAATAGGTTTTGATTAAATGATGGAGACCTTGGGGTTAGATTATTATAGGAAATTGTCTATTTTTAATTAGTTAATTAATTTATACAATTTGCCCTTATCAGAGCTTGAACATGTTATCTTATACATATGACAAGGATGAACTTATTTGGGTTATAAAAATAGCAACATTAGTTTTCAAACTAAACACTAATGATTACATTGACTTACATGATGATTCTTCATCGTTATAATTAGCCGATAGTAAAGGACAATTGCCTTTGATTGTTGTTGGTGATTCTTGCATGTTTAGTCTATGCTTATTTAGTCATAATATTTAGTTAACATTGAACCGAACTAGATGAAAAAGGATATGGATTTTACCCGGATATTATAACTACAATTACTTGTAGGATCATGGCAATGCAATCAAAATCATTTCTATTGAGATGGAATTTTCAAAAAAGTATAAATCAACTATTCTTCAGTATTCTATAAATGGATACTTTTTACCTCAGGGGATCTAGAACAAACCATGAACTATATACCTTTTTGAGTAGGTATCTGACCCACATAAACTCTTGTAAACATCCCAATTGTTTCTTGTCGGTTCGGCTTAATTTTCTTCTTCCTTGTCCTATATTTTCCACCATCCATTCCTTCAAAGTATCTATTTTTTATTTCTCTTATTCTTTTTTGTCTCAATCTTGATGCAATTCAACCATTAAGAAATCCAACATTTTGATCTTATGAGTTTATTCTAGTTCTAATGTTATTTAGTGTGACGAGTATGGACTTATAATCCTTATGTGAAGGGACTCATTGATAATGATGATAATAATGAAGGATAAGTTTTGGCAATATTCTACAATGGACCATATGTGGTTGATGAGGAAGCACTATGTTTAGATGCTATAGAACTTATCACGTGGCTACAATTTTTAGGCTTACTGTTGGAGGTAAACTATATTTCTAACGCAGCGCAAGTGCCTCCTTTGGCTCATCCTCATTTCATGAGTATCAACTTTGGACTTCTGTGGAGCTTGAATGGCTCCTTTGATGATTGTCGCTATTTCAGCATTTCTCTACTCGAAGAGCTTGGAGGGATTACCTGCTTCACATAGGGGCTGGGTTTTGCCATCTTCAATTTTAGACCTTGTGCGAAGTGCATCCCTTTAAATAAAACAGGCCTTACTTGGAAAGTATCTTAGGCAACACCAACCTTCTTGTCCATTTTTCTAGGTTAGAGGCCTCTATGTCCTTTCACAATGCTTCTATGCTACTCTCTGTTCGGTACTCTTGAATGCCCTGAAGGATGCTGCTTTATAGTGTTTCATCTAGTTATGCCTGGTAACATCGACTCCTTAGTTGAATTTTATCATCAAATGGTTGCCCAATTTCATGCTTTGAACCCCATAAATGAGGTCATTAAACTTTCTCCATTTAAAGCAGGGTGAGAACTTATCCTTCAACACATTGCTTCCATTTTGTATGCTTTCTATTGTATTCTTTTACATTCTTAAATAGTTCATAAAAGTTTAATTGTATGCAAGTTAAGAAAACTATTTTCTAAAATTATTTTCTTATACAGCTTACAAAATGATGGACTTTAGCCTTCCCACAAACTTTTTGTGTGATGTAATTTAAATTTTAATCAACTATATACAAGTGAAGATTAGTAGATTATATTATATTTATATGTGATTCATAGTGGTATTTAATTTAGTGTAAAAAACATGATTTAAATTGACATAAGATGAATGGGTATACCACTGAATTTGGACAAGGGTAGCTTCCATATAGTATATATATATATATATAAGAGAGGATTTATGAGCAAAATTCCATTTTATCTATTCCTACAAGAGTCATCATTATCCCCTCTTTGGTTCCACCAACCAAATGAAATCAATGGAACTTTTTTTTTTAATTTCAACTCGTCCAACACTTTTGGTAACAAATAAAATATGATTTTAACATATAGGCATCAATTGGTAACACACCACTATGCAATATATCACTATATAATAGAAGGCAAAAAAAACCCGACAAAATCTTCATTTAAAGATTCAATAAAGATATACTGGAGATCCATCACATCCAATCGACAATTATGCATGTTAGTTTGACGTAGGTGTGATTGGAAGGTTTTAAACATTCTCTTGCCAAAAATGTTTGGATTCTTTAGCCAAAATTTGATACTCGTTGGATTTTGGATATTGCCAACAAGTATCAAATTTTTACTAGATGGCCGCTAAATACTTGATTCAAAGAGACGAGCCTTACGGGATGATTACTCTAGAGAAGCTTCACGAAGTCAATCATCTTTTCCGCCTTCTTACCCTCTGCTCAAGGATAAGTCCATCTTTGCATAAAAAAGAACTCCAAGCACACCCTCCTTTGACAAACCTTAAAGAACCATAGTAGTGCTTATTAAGAATAAAGCTTTTTTAAGAAGAAACCCTCTATTGGAGCTACATTCAAGAGGCAAGCGAAGGATGAGATAAAGCCCAATAATTTGAGTATCATCAACCATGGACATGATAATTATTAATGTTATTTATTGAAGAACTTGCATAAGGATTATTATGAACATGTAAATTGAAGGAGTATCTAATTTTCATTCAGTATAAGAACCTTTTTTGGCATCCCCTATCGACACTAGTTTTGCTTCTAGATCCATTCTCCTGGCATCTCTCAAGACTACCCTTTAAGGATTGCAGCATCACTTTTATTGTTTAAGGCCCTTAAGGATGAAATATTTGTTAGATTGACCTCATTTTTGGGAGGTTTGAGTTAATATAGGTCTTCTTATTCAAGTACTTACTCCATCGTTCTAATATATTTTTCTTGGTTATAGTGATGCAATTATGGTGGAGGTTTTATTATAATTGTTAGGATGCAGCTTTCTTGGTTGGGATGGAAGGTTTGGCTAACACCTTGCAGGTATTCTATAAAATACAAGTGACTAAGGTTGAAAAGGAACCTATGTATGGCTTTGCTGGTTCTAGCTGTGAAGCTATTGTTTTTATTGCATTCTCACAAAATACGGGGCAACGAATTAGCAATGTACACTTGAATGATATATACTCTCATGAACCTGAAACCAATAACTTATATTACCATAGTTGATTGATTATTATTGAATTCCTATTTAGATGCAGTGCAAAATACCACTTAGTGGTTTAGTGTTGAGTAAGACCTCAACTATTTACATTTCACACCAATCTATAATAGTTTAGTAGAAACTATTTGAAGGTAATTTAATCTATAAATGACTAGTTCCTAAAAATAAGTGACTAGAAGTTGATGAAGGAATTGGAAGGTTCATTTCATTTAGGGGAGAAGACTTGGATGGTCAAGACCAAGAGCTGCATGGAAGGTGATTTTGTGGTGATGCTACTTGAACTCACAAACGATTGAGACATCTTCATGCTAGGAATTAATGCCATTATTGACTGCCATCACCTGAATATTCATGAAGAGATCAAGATGATCAAGCAACAAAAGCGTAGTGTAGCCACCCAACTAGTAGAACCCATTCAAGAAATGGTTTAGAGTCTATTTCAAGTGGTTCATTTTGAAGGCGGTTTAGAGGCTATTTCAAGTGGTTCATTTTGAAGGTTTAGTGTCCCAAATGGATCTCCAATGTTATCATACTATAGAAGAGTATTTACAAGTGGGGATGAGCATTGGCTTCACTAGCATCTACTAAATTAGCCCAAATGATGGTTACTCTTTTCTATACATTGACACACTAGTTGGCTTTATTGCTTTATATCATGTCGTGGACTTCGTAGATGGCTTTGTGGGATGCCTTTTAATCCGAATGACAGTTGATGTAGTCATTTTGGCTAGCAGGGGTAATTATCAATGGGATAATCTGTTGCATTTACTTGACAATTATAACTTTGTACTATATGGTAGTTGGTAATGTAATGGCAATAATTTTTGATGAGTTGAGCAACTTAACGAGTGTGAGAAAAAGATAGTTTGCTATCCCTTATAAGTGCTTATAAATATACATCACCTATCCAGCGTGCAATGGAATTTTTTGGGAGGTCAAAATTGCTTTATTAAGCTTTGAGCTAAATACCTATCGACATTCAACCTCTTAGCACACTTAACCTCATTTACTTTGCCTTGTTATAAACTGTTGTTCTATGTCTATCCACTCTTAATTTGTTATATCTTAGATTATAGGTTATGATAAAATTTGAGAGACTTCGTTAAGTTTTCATTCTGATATAGGTATAGTTTTTATATAATCCAAGTAGAGTTCTAATCGGAAATACATTAAAATCAGGGAATAATTGTTATGAAGTACACTGATTTGTAAGTAGACAGAATAATTGCAGTATTCCACAGATTGATTAGTAGGATGTAGTAATTCCATTGATCAGAAAGATGGCAAAGAAAGAGGAAGGAAAGTGGGCATAAGTGGGTCTTAAATTGTTGGAAATTATGCAGGCATTCTGTACTACCCTCAATTGCATAAATATGTGTCATCCATTTCAAACTTGCCTGATAATTTTTAAATATTTCCTAGAATTATCCTTTGGTGATGATATCGGCATGTTATTCACTTGTTGCATATGATTTTTATTTGTTATAAAATGCTTTTTTGTCTTTTTTATTTCTTGTAAATGGTATAATTTTCTTTTTTATTTAAGAAATTGAGAACCAATTCCTTTTTTTCTTTTTTTTTTTTTTTTTTTTTTTTTTTTTTTTGATTTATTTTTTCATTCAGCTCATATGTTGAATTTATTTTTGGTAACTCTTCAGTTGATTTAGATTGCTTGGTTAGAGAACTTGAGACCATAGGTACATGGGTATATTATTCTTGTCCATGGAGAAGGAAACTGTTGGTTTGTTCACAGGAATTAATAGCGAAGAATTGAGGTAATGCAACGATGAAGTTTGTATCAATGGGATCAATTTGTGGCAATTCTATGATGGAGGTTATAGTTATAGAAAATAGTAAACAGAAAAGAAGCGCTGAAATGGAGGTTGCAAACTTGTAGTAAGGCAGCAAGAAAGGCTGTAATTTTATGGTAATGCAACAATGAAGGTGCAAGATTGTGGTAATGAGGTGATGAAGGATACAATAATGAAAATAAAATGAAATAAAAGCCTAAAACACTGATAGCATGACAAGAATTGGAGAGAATTGGTTGAATATTTTATTAGAATACTGGTTTAGTTTTTATACAATTTTAGCAGGTTTTCTAATAGAAAATTTATAAAATCAAGAAATAATTATTAGTTTACAATAATCTATAGATTAAAGAGTAGATTTGATAATAACTATAAAATAATTGTTGAGTACGAAGTATGGATTCCATAGATCAATGAGGTGGCTGCGAAAGAGGTAGCAATGAGGGTGGAAGTTTTTGTTAGTATGAGTTCATGCTGGTGGAAATTATGCTCCCCAATAATTTTACAAATGTGACTTTTAAGCCAATTCTATTTGAACAATATTCACTCGCTTAAGAGATATTCTTGAAATAAGTACAATTTCTTGCCGCCGTATGGATTTGCATTCTTTGTTGATGTTGCAAATTTTCTAATTTTGGAGATTGGTTTTTAAAGCAGTCAACTGGCAAGTTTTATCATCCAACTAAATTTTTCTAGCCAACGTAAGCCAGGATTAACATGCGGGCAAAATAAACTTGTTTTTTATGGATTCTTGCATCAGTTTTATTTCTCCGTGTTTGGCCATTCTCTTATTCTTTTCTTGCCTCCTAATTGCACTAAATTTGATGCTTTTCCTTATCCATGAATTTGAAAGGCCACCAACTTGGTAGATGAATCTACAAGTCTTTCTAAAAGCCCCTATTTCTCCTCTAAAGCTTCCTGAGTTTGACGTATTCATCTCTAAGAAAGCATTGTTTAAGACAATAATTTTTTATGGAATTTCTATTATACATAGAAATAAACGAAGGGTATCTCCATTTAAACATTTCTCTTGATCTGCGTAACTTTGTGTGACATCATTTTATATTAAAAAAATGATGTTGATGGCGGGCATAAAAATGGCACACTTGCAATAAGAAGCACTAATTAATATATGAGGCATTTGTTGGGAACAAAAAATTGGTTCTTGAAAGCCAATTTTGCTTTTATGATGATAAATTAAGCTATGAAGACAAGCATGTCTTTTACGGAATGATTTATGCTAATAAAGAGCAACCTATTCTTTTAATTTATTTTTGCTTACACCAGAAATTTAGGAGTTTGCACAAGTTGGAAAAATGATTGCCTTAAAGATTTTATACTACCATTTGTTAATTTTAGGCGTACTTTTGGTTATTTTTACGTGGAATTATTAAATAAATCACATTTATTTTTTGTTCACGTAATTCCACCGCTCATGCTAATGGCATGCTTGCTGCCTTTTTATTTTTTTGCAGTGTACTTATAGTTCTTTTCTTACTATCCCAAAACTTTTATCTTGTACTTCATATCCAGGCATGTCAAAAGCCTTATGGAACAAGCTGGATTGTTAGTTCGTGAGGATATGGTTGGCAATATATTTGGCCGATGGTGAGTTTGGAATAATTGTTTTTGTGCGGTCAATAATATAGGTGTTATTACAAGTTAAATAATTTTTACACCAAATTATTTGTCTTCAATAGATGTTGCTTGCTGTCTTCTACAATGAGCCACACCTTTTCTTATTGTTGGAAGATTTTAGTTTTATCCTTCTTGGAAAGAAGCGCTTTGCATTTCAAGATGGTGCCAAGTTTTTTTATTAATGGAGGCCCAATACATTAATGCTGCCACTTATTGGTGCCATCATGGTCTGTATATTAGTGAATAGTTAGGAACAGTCACTTGCCAATTGGTAAATGGAAGATTTGTATGGCTAATCTACATGAGTTCCAAACTATCATTTTGATTTAAAATGCGTATTAACATAATTACTGCCAGCCATTATAAATATGATACAGCATTGATAGTTTTGGATTATATCCACCTGAAAATTGACGTTATTTTTTTTTTTCTGTAGTCTTTTCTTTCTGTAAAACATAGTTTATGGTTCCTACTTGATGCTTTAATCTATGTTTTCACTTTTGTTCTTCAATTTCAGATCGTGGAATGTCTACTTAGAAGTCTTAATCTAGTAGGCCATGGCACCCAGAAACTCTCTGGAGGGGTTTGATTTTTACAGCGATGTTAACTTTACAAAGCTTGTTCATAGTCCGGCTTGTAGAGATATAAATGTGTGTCACTAACAAAATTGAGTGCGTCAGAAGGAAACTTTTATCGTTATTGTTCTCCCTGAAAGCCTTTCCTTTCGTTAGCACGTATTTGCAAACTGTAACTCATTTTTTCTATCTATTGTTTTGACACAAGGCATTTATGTTTTCGATGAATGTGTGCATGCATACCTAAGGAGGTTTGTGGTATTGTTTCTTACTGCAATCTAATTTATATAAAACGCACACACATTTTATTCTGAAGATGTTCATTTTATTTTTTGTGGGATATGTAATTTGCTTAAGGATAGTAAATCTAGTCAAGCATTACTAGTTCAGAAAACTTTTTGTTTCATATTATTTTTGCAGGGAGGGTACCGAGGCTGTACTTTCAGCAGTCGCTACTGGTTCTCATATTGATGCAATTCCTTATTCAGGAAAATATGATGGTGTCATTGGTGTATTGGGTGCAATAGAAGCAATTAATGTACTAAAAAGGTTCGCAGTTTGCTAGTCCCAATTCATAATTGAATTTGTGATGCTTTTAGTTCACCTTAATATTGATTAATGGGCAACTGTTTCTTATAACTAAAACAATCAAAAATTAGTTTCTGCAAATTTGTTTTCTTTAGTTTGAAAGTCTATTTTATAGAACACTTTGTATTGGAAAGTGCCAATCCACATTAGGAACTTATTTCCTTTGTTAAGAATATATTTCACTAATTGTGTATTTTTATTAGATATTTTCTTTTTCAGTTTTTTTTTTCTTTATTTTGGAGGGATTTCTACTTGGTTTCCTTTCATTATTATATATATGCAGCAATGTGTAATGCATGAGGGTTAACGAGAAATAAAATTCTTTTAGGAATTTCAATATGGTATTAAAGCCACCAACCCAATTCGTTCCTATTCAGGGCCGCAACCCTATTTTCTAGCTGCTGCTCATCTCTACCTCTCTCTGACTCATCGAGGTAAAAGCCGAGGCATTCTTTGTATCTCGACTCGTCTTTGCGTATCCAATGTCTCTATTTATCGTTTGGAACCAACCTCCCTTATCTGCGACGTACAAAATGAAAACATCTATCGTTTCGATCCTAGAATCGAGTAATTGTACTGAGGGGCAGGAAGTACGCCATTGTTGGTATCTTTTGTTCAACCAATTCAAATAAATCTGACAGGATCACAATATCCCTTCGTTCATCTCCTCACGTGCACACGAGATTGTTATAACTTTGTCAATTCGTTCTCACATTGCTTCCAATGATGCTATCTTCGACATATCCAATAACACCGATTTTTCTCTCCGTTTGGGACGCTCGTCCTCTCTGTTTGAACAAATCGCTGAACTATGATTCGGCTCATGCGATCAAATTATATAGATCATTTAAACTGTTTGATTTTCACAGATAATTTCTTCTAAAGATTGTTTCTTCCTTTTGATCGCTAAATCAATGATCGATCAGCTTGTGATCGGTTTGACTTTCCTTGTCATCCTCTCGTGTCACCGACTTACCAATTCTCTCTCAGTTCCCGTTCGCTCGTCCAATTAAGCAACCAAACTAAGGGACCTCCTTCCTCCCGTTCCTGTTCGCTCGTGAGTAGTCGAACTAGGATCCTTCTATTGTTTCCTTTTGAGCAGCAGAGTTTCTCTATTTGAGCTTCACAATCTTATCATGGTCAAACATAGCATGACCTCACAATCATCTTCATCAGAACTCACATTTTGTTCCTTGTTCGCTTCTTCAATCCCTATCATATTTTTTAACAATTTTTCAGAATTCATTCCGTTTACTAGGAAGTAAATTGCGTCACCGCCAAAAATTTTTAGTAATAGTTAGACAACATTAAGATGACTAGGAAAGTCAAATCGCCTTCCCTACAATGATTGACAAAGGATCTTCTCCTCTACTAAATTTTATTTCAATTATTGTAGGGAAGGCGATTGACAATATTAAGATGCATGGTACTATGATGGTTTATACTTGCTCAAAGAAAATAAATTCGTCAATAAGCAATATCACTCGTCAAGTTGTATTTTTGAGTCCAGCTCAAATTTTGTTGAAATTGGAAGTCAAGTCATGTCGAGTCATTATCGTCTTGGTCATCCAAATTTTGCTTGCATGAAAAAGATGTTCTAGTATTTATTTATCACTAAAAAATCTAATCTTTATCAATGTGAAACTTGTCAAATTGTATAACATATCGACCATGTTTATTCGAAATTACAATACAATCCTTTACTTCATTTTTTTGTTATTCACAGTGATATCCAAGACACTTACAAGTAAACAATATATATGAGGCACAATGGTTTGTATCATTCATATATGACCACACAAGAACAACATAAATATTCTTTATGAAAGAAAAGCCTGAAACAACCACCATGTTTCAATTTATTTATTACATGATTTTTATTCAATTCCAAAGCAAAATTCAAATTCTTAAAATTGATAATGCTAAGGAATACTTTTATTCCATTGTTAGTTCTTATCTTTTCAAGCATGGTATTATCCATATAAGTTATTTGTGTGGATACTCCTGAACAAAATGAGGTCGCGGAAAGGAAAATTAAACTTACTTAAGGTGACTTGTGCCATTATTTTATTTAATCATGTGCCTACATATATATATATATATATATATATATATATAGAGAGAGAGAGAGAGAGAGAGAGAGAGAGAGAGAGAGATGCATTCTGAAAGCAACATCATACCTCATTAATAGGATGCCCAATTGAGTCCTAAAATTTTAAATTCCCTGCAATGTTCTCATGAAATCCTGTGCGGATATCCACTGTGTCTTCTAACTCATTGAAATTTTTTTGTTGTTCTTTCATTGTTCACATTGATCAACAACACCATACTAAATTTGATTTGAAATCTCTCAGTTACTCATTCAATAAAAAATGGTACAAACGCTGCTCTCCAATCACTAGAAAATATACAACCCTATAGGTGTCACATTCATTAAAAGCAATATTATTTCCCAAATCTAAAATTCAAGGGGAGAACACAAAGGAATATCATATTTGAGATTTTATCCAAGATACTCCAACCAATTCTTATTTCTAAATCAAATTATGTCTCTCAACTAGCTCCACTTGTCACTACTCAACCTCTACTAGCTTCACTTCAAGAACCAAACTCTGCCACTGAAACAGTCCCAATTGTCTCCAGTTCACCTCAACATGACACCAACGATCATGAATTTTGTCTACACCAGAAGAATCGTTGAACATGTAGAAGACACTATGCAGACTCAGGACTGTCAAGATCTAGAACCAAATCTTTCTGATAATAACAGTGATATGGATTCCTCAACTCATGACTCGTTTGCACCGATGGTTGATGACTTCAATAAACCAATTGCACACAAAAGAGATATCCGAGGTGCATTGGTCATCCAATTAAAAGATATGTAACCATGGAAAGTTGTTGTCTTCTACAACCTTTTATAACAAACCTTGATAGCATGCATGTTCCAAACTCTATCCAAGTGGCTCTAAAGGTTCCAACATGTCGGGCTATGAAAACGAATAATACATGGACACTTATAGAATTACCACATGGAACAAATCCTATAGGGTGCAAATAGATATTCACAGTCAAATACAAAGGAGATAGAAGTGTAGAGAGATTCAAAATCAGACTTGTTACCATGGGATTCAGGTTGTCATACAGATTTAACCATCAGGAAACATCTGCAACTATTGTCAAACTTAATACGATTCGAGATTTATCTCTTTTGCAGTAAAACAAGATTGACTTTTATTCCGGCTTGATGTCAAAAATGTCTTCTTGAATGGTGACCTTCATCAGGAAATTATAATTGACTCACAAAAATTTGAAATTGCAACAATTAAAAACACAGACCCAAGCTAGGGCTAGATCCAGAGGGTTGGTGGTGGTGATCGACGAAGATTTGGGCCTTCTAAGAGGTTGCAAAGGGTTGATAGAGATTGTGATAGTGGGGCGACAACAAAAGAGGAATGCAGTGGGCTGTGACGGCGATATAGGATGGTTGTCAATCTGCACAGCGGTAGCACAACAAGGCAACGAAATTGCAGGGCGCGACAGTGATGCAAGATGGCTGAAAAGGTTGGAAGAAGGTGTCAGGATGGCTAAAAGGGGTTTAAAGGGTTGCGACAATGAGGTAGGAAGCTGAGAGGAGGAGGTTGTTGGGATGTTTGGGACAACAATGACAATAATAAGGAGGGCTAGAAACGCAGAAAGGAAACGAGCGGGCTGTCCTTGGGATGATGACAACAAGAAGAAGGTTGGCGGAAAGGGACAACAATGTGGAGGGGAGGGGAAGCGAAAGATAACTGCAGGAAAGTAGTAAAGTGTCTGGTGGCTGCAGCAAATATGATTATAGTGGCAGCAGAAGGAGGGTTGCAGAGGAGTGGGTAGGTCGAGGATTATCACCACCTCATACAAGAAACAACCGGAGCACCACTCGTTGTCAGTTAGAACCTAGAAAGGAAAACCTGGACATCAATGACTGTCCTGACAAAAAACATGAAAAAGCTAATCTCAGACACGAAAAAAACCTACTTATTGACCCAAGGTAACTAAGAAGCGACCCCCATTAAGTGGGCGGCAACCTTAAGTAGTCAGCTGGACTAGTTAGTTAATAGTTTGCTTGGATCGAAAGGTCCAGGCTGCAAAGGCGAGATCCCGTGACCCTCCTGCTTCAAGAACGGGGCCACTCCTGTATCAGTTTCCCAGGATTGGGGGAACTTCAACCTCATTGGTCGAAGCTTCTGAACACGTTGAAGGCTATAGAGTTGTTGTAACCTCCCAATATGGAATGTTCTTCAATTGCATCAATATGAGCACATGGATCTCATTGTTGGTTGCACTGGCTCTCAATACACCCGAGGAGCTTTCCATACTTACGAGCAAACATCCAAATAGGCTAACCTTTTGGGGGTATATTGTGGAGCTGAACATGGATTTCAATCTAAGTTTATTATGCTTACTCTTCCAAAAGGAAACCAAGGTTGGTTCAACCCGATCAGAAGTGAGGGCAGCTTAAAGCTCCCCCGACAGTGGTGGCCATGCCTTATGTCTGAAATCGGCTCATCTATCTCGCTAGCTTCAATCATCACCAAACCTGATCCTGACGTTTCTCTGCTAGCGAGGACATCTATGCTCTCCTACTCTACATAAGATAGAAGATTTTGTGCTTAACATATTTAGTAAAGGAGCAGGTGTTCTTGAACCCGTCATGTTGAGACTGTTTATCAAGCTACGATAAACTCTCCAACAATAGGTGGGAGGCATCTATGGGCACCATGTCGCACCAAACCCGATCTTTCAGCTAACTCCCAATCAAAAACTCAATGAGGTAGTTCCTGCCAATGTTGACTCTGCTCTTTTTGCTCGACCACGTTAGGAAATACGATTGAGAGGGTTTTTGAGTCGTGAGACTCAAGTTGTCCACCATATGTGTAGATGTCACATTTTTGGTACTCTTTCCTTCGATGATAAGA